GCCGGATGTGATCTCCTCGGTGGAGGTGACATCCTCAGCTGAGGTAATACTGAACGACTCTCTTGAAAAATAAATATTACAAGTGAAGCACTTAAATACAAGATCAAAGTGATATTCAACATATCCTGTACAGTAACATATCTTGTCTCGATCCACTCTGGACTCAGGCATCTAATCGTCAAACACAATCGAAACAGACAATTCGCAAATATAAAGCTGACTCTCATCCTCGATCGACGGTGCCAACTCGGTGAGAACTTCAAGCTGACATTGACTATGTATTGAGATTGTAAAAGGACATACAATATAAATCGAAAATGTGTAATACGTACCTCTGGATCGTCGAGGACAACCGATAACTGTCTGGCAAGCGACTTGTCTTGTGCTTGCTAGTGATGCATCCAAGGGCAGCTTGTCTTCCCTCTCCTCGCATACCGATTGGCCAAGATGGGGATAGTCTCGTACATCGATATTTGTAGTAATTACAATTATGATGTATAGAATTCAAGGAAAAAAGTGTTGGTAATTCATTAACTTAAACATATACATGCAGCGCCAACGGCAGTCCATATACATCGTACTTGCGCTTGGGCTTACCCCCCTTAGGCATCGAAAACCCCTTCCTAAACACGCGTAATGTATCTAAAAAACATCTTCGGCTCCATGGGTAGTTGTTGAAGGCATCAATGTCATCAACAACCTCCAAATGAAAAATGTCAATCGATATCTTCTTGTGATGACACCGGAGTACGCTCTCAATGATAAGCACCATGCCCAGCTTTAGCCTATCAGACATTTGATCACATTCGCTTAATGCATCTTCCAACTGCGCTAGAGTAACTATCGTTTGTCTACGAAAATATTCATTCAACAGCCTCCTATTCCTCGGAACACAGGCCCTCGCCTCTTCTTCGTCCGTATATCGTAGTCCAGTGACGAGGGCAAACTTAAATATGGAGAACGTCGCTACCTTGCCACCAAGATCGAAATGGAGGGCGTCTCCATCAATTGGCTTCAGCAACCGACAAAGCAGGGTATCGAGCAGCTGCCTAGACCACTGTACATCACGCAACGAATACAATGACCATAAGCATGATCGACATAACATGTCCGCGTGCTCGTTATCCAACAAATCTAATACCAAAGTGAAGCTGATAAAGTCATAATTATACGTAACCTTACCAGGGATCTGTCTGACAGCGTTGTCCAGATGATATTCTATCCTACAAAATTTCAAATATTAGAACCTTGTGCAAATGATGTTCGATAAACCAAAATTTTTGTTGATAACTAATTGATAAACAAAAATATTATAAAAAGAAACTAACACACTGCTACTATATGCAATAACCAACCGATAACGAAATAAAGGAAATGAACATAAATTACTATTTTTCGTATACTTAATTTGCTAATTTGATTGATATTTTAATTTTCTAATTTAATAGCTTATTTTTATTATTG